CGTTCTTCTGAACGACATCATCAGTACAAACTTCAGGTAGAAGTGATGTGTTCGAATTTTTCCATATGTGGTTCACAGCTTGTCCTGTACACCTCGATGTTGATTGGTTCTTGTTGACCTTAAACTTGTCATTGTTTACTTTGACAATCACAATGACAAGTTTAAGGTCAACACGAACCAATCAACATCGAGGTGTACAGGACAAGCTATAAACCACATATGGAGAAACTCCGACGCTTCACTTCCATCTGAAGTTTGTGTTGATGATAGCGTTCTGAAGAATGATCAAAGCTCCACGACCAAACTATCCAGTTCAGAGAAAAAAACCGCATCAAAATCTGAGAAACATACAGTAGGTTCTTCATTTGTAAAGTGTCAATCTATTGTCTTAGATTTGAATGTTCCTTTTTTCCACACTAATCATTTTCCGTTCTCGTTCTCTTTTTTTCGATCTTCTTAACCTTCTGCTTCCAGGTATTTCACTTTTGATTGACGATACATGCTACTTATATTTGTTGATATCAGTAGAACACACTACAGTATTATTGTATTTGCATTATTTTGAATGATAGATAACTTATGGATTTAATGAAAACTCAAATAACGATATTCCTAAATGTCTATTTCAATATAATTAAGTTAACTGATATGTACAGAAATCATAAACAGAACCATAGTGTAACAGACTTAGGTAACAGTAGTAGTGGACAAATACTAGAATTATAACAATTCGTAATCTGAAATCTACATTAAAGTACCCAGCAATTGTATTGGAACCAATTTTAACACCGGAATTGTATTTTGATAAAATAAATCCAGAACTACCTTAAATATATGTTCAATCAAAATTGCACTGAATGAATCAAGAACAAGTATCCTGTGATTACAGTATACCCAATATAAATAAATCAGAAGAATAATTTTAACTGATAGATTAACAAGGGTATATTACATTTAATCGTGAAATTCAACCAAAAGGATTGAGCTAATAACTTTAGTTGTCACGTACTTAGTTTGAGTATTCCGATGTGTGAATTTTACATTTCTGCATTAATCATCCCAATTATTGAGTGTAATACATGAATTAGTAATTCTCAGAATCATTCAAAACATGCCAGTAGTTTTATATAATCGTTTCGAAAAGTAAAATAGGTTATTGTAAGCCGTAAATGGAGAAAGATAATGGTCATTAAAATCAACCATCTTGCTCAAATCCGAATTTCAAGGTTTGTTATCCCAGATAGTAAAATGAACAGTAGTAGAATATGTTTAAGCAGTATGATCAATTTTCGCACGTTTAAAACATTTAGCATTATGAAATATGCATGATTTACTTTAATGAAATGTACTATAACATAGATATTTCCCATTTTTTGTACTCATTTTTATACTCCTCATCAAACTGTTTCTTATATATTCATTGAAATGAGAACCATTATTAATCAAATGTAGATTTGAACGACCTTAAATATCTACTGAGTTACAACTGAAAAAAAACTTGTCCATAACACGTTGATGTTTGAAGCAATAGGCACTGGGTTTGTATTCTATGTATAAACGTTAATAATGCGATTCAGATACATCAAACTGTTGAGGCACAGCTAGAATAAAATCGCTGTTTTGAACCTTAGTACTAGCCAAAATCTAATGGTAAAGTATAACTAACTTCATAACTCATTGACAGTTTAATTAGCTTTACACCATCAGAGAAATCACTTAAAAGGTTTAGCTCAAATTTGGTTTTGTTTACAATCAGAGGTTTACTAATATGCTTAAATACAGGATGTTTCGCAAAATGTGGATGAATTTACGTACTATGCCAGTCGATTTATAAGTAAACATGAACACGTATCCACTACATTACGTTTACTTAACTGACGGCCTGCTCGAATATCTGGACTGCCTGTTCTCTCCATCTAAATATTTTAACAAGTTATGTTTTTGTTTGTTTTAACACATCATTATGTTTGCTAATCGAATAACCTATGGAAAGTTTACTACCTTTCGCTGTACAAGTTACAAAAAAATACAATAAGAGATATCCTGGTGGCTGGACATATGTATTGCGAAAGACGAACATTACTTATATGTGGATTCCTGAACTGCTAACATCTAATTGGTGATCACTTAATACTTATCGTCAGGATCATCCAAGAAATCAAAAAAGAAAACTTGTTGAAATACTCTGCGCTAAGAATTCTATGTTGTACCGAAGATGTAATATTGAATAAAGCCATTAATAATAATAACTGTTATCGTTGTAATACCTAGTTTGTTCGACTATTAGAAGTCATTGCAAAAACTGTCATCAAAGCAATTAAACAAATAGTCTTAATGTTAGTTTAATAGGCTTATGGGGATTTTTTAGTTTGTAATTTACATCACGCTTATATAGCAGTAGTAATTAACTTAATAATCCGCGACAAGTAAACGCTGCAAAATTTCTATAGTCAGTGGTCGAATTACGACTATTCGATTCGCATACCGAAAATTCTGATCCTAGAGACTGGATCAATTTTATCATAGACTATTAATTAAGCTTTTTTCTTAGTACTCTATATGTAATCTGTACAATGTTTCCATAACTATTGGTTTCTATAAGTTAACATAAATGAAACTGTAACAGTTGATACTTTTAAATTTTATAAGGGATTGGATAACGAAAGTATAAATTTTTAAGAAAGCATCTCTCTAACGTCATCCTGATGAGATTTGGCAGATACTAAACGATGATTGTCCTAAATCACTATTTATATAGCTAATCCTATAAGTATCAGTAACAGTAGACTAGTGAATTAAGTGAACGTCTTGCTATAATTAAGTAGTAAGCCTAACATGAATTCTGGTGACTTAACTTTAAGATATTCTATCAAATAAATCGTCAGTTGACATCCAAAAGTTACTGATCCCCTATAACTTATGTATGATACCTAATTTTCTTAATTTAGTTCAGTTAAAAAGTTACAACGTTGTTCGTTAGCTTCATTCTTTCTTACTAATAATTGATGAAATAACACATCATTTGCTCGTGAATAACCAGTATCATCGTATATATGATGTGTCAGGTTAAGCTGTATTAGTACATCTAACCACTTGACCTCATTAATTCCATTTCGCGAAAGCGTAGATTAGTGATTAGAACATTTAATTTTCAATTATTATGGCGTGAATTCAAACCACGAGACACTTGTGTTGGTTTAGGAGTCTCGGTAGTATAATCTTCATCCAAACACTGCAGTATAAAGTTGAGGACATTAAACTTGTGAACTAAATCATATCTTTTAACGAGGGTTCGAGTTAAGATTGATAACTTACTTCATTTAAATGCTTTAACATTATTGTCAGCTGTTCATTACAACTAAACAAATCATATTTCCACAGTTTTCTTAGACGTTTTGCACATGGTTTTATATTAGTTTTATTTGTTATAATTATTATAAGATCAGTATGAAAGCAAAACCAAATCCCATTCATAATTGATTATTTATATTGTCATATGTGTTCATTGAATTTAACGTGACTAATGTCATTTTGTTAACGTTTTTTCAATAAAAATGATATACATGATCATATCATAATCAAACTATAATCACTTTGTTTTTAAAGAAAATTCACTTTTTTGTTCACTACTATCTGATCAGTACACTATTTTTCTATTACCTCATATTACCTGCTATTCATGTACAACAAAAAGCCAATATCCGTTTTGTTATTATTAGACATACTAGAGATTGACTCGCAGGTTTTGATTATCATTGATGCGCTATGCTACTTGATTTAACCTTAAGACTGTTACGCATGTGTTCCAATTTGACTGACCTTGGAATCTGATTATCGCAGTGACTCGGAAAAATATCTTTTAAAGCAGATCCTAGTTAGCTAGGCAAGACTTTCTTGATAAGACCCAATAAGACACTTGTACTTACCGCTTTATGTCTGATGGTTTGATCGAACTCAAAAATATACATGATTACAATTATGTTCAACTTGAACAAAACGCATAATAATCAAGAAATAAGATATTCAGGGTATGAAATTGGAATATTAAGCTTACGATTAGATTACTGCGGGAGATATGACAGTAGCTTATCAATCAAACAGAAGCTTGTAATTAAAGAAATGTAGAAATCGCGATGAACATTAGGAAAAAGCTAAAAACGCCACGAGAAATTTATTACGTCTTGAATCCCCACCCTAAATGCAAAGTTGAATAGTTCAGATTATATTAGGGAAGTTGACAACCACATAAATATTCGTTTACCAGGTTGAGTCACAACTGCGAGCGCTAATAAAACTGTCTGGATACCCAACTCTCAGATGTAGAAAGGCCTTCGAACCCTCAACTCTGATCAAGTCAGGAGCCTTTTTATTTAAGCGGCTTCTCTACAATTTTTCCTGAACCATTTGCACCACCAATGAAATCCTGTATTATCCAGAATTAAAGGAAATTTGTATTAGAGATAATTTTGACTGTTGTTCTTACATAATCAGTTCCAGAAATTAACTATCAGACGATTTGTTCTGGAGAACATACGTGGTTCACAGGAATTATTTTAGTAACAAGTAGGTTACCCAAGTATATATATATATATATATATAACCAGTAAACTTCTCTTGAGTATGAAGTGTCAATTACTAAGCCTTATTAGTTTATGCTGTACCAACATTATAACTTAATGGAAATAAAAACCCGTCAACCATCATCAACGTAGAACCTGTGCATCGGCCCAAGCTGCCATATTACATGAATTTAGGAAGATGAAAGTGACAAGATGAACAACAAATCAGAATATTAACAATGATAAAAAGCATACTAAATATAAAGTATCTGATTTGCAGGAACAGCATAAAATTACACAATAAGAAATATGGGATCGTAATGACATTCAAGACTTATGGTAGGTTGGGAAATGAGCACATCTATACCACTACGACTGATCTTGATCTATGTCACTTCAAATCACGATCACCACACATATATCAATCAAGTAGCTTGCAATTAATAACACGACTTAGCTTGGCAGATGATGGTTTCATGAGTTGAAATTATGTCTTGGTATGTCCGTCCCTGGCTTTCTTCCACCTTACTCTAGCACCAGCTATCTATTGTGTCAGGGAGGGTAGTAATTAGACACACGTTTATAATAAATTTGGCAAAGTACAACGCTATTAACTTCAATATTAATTCGTTTTGACTTGTATCAATAAATACTCAGGGTGCATACACCTGATGAAATGACAGTGTTATTTTTTGGGTACTATAGCATTTACGCACACTGTAATACTTCCACATAAAAAAGAGCAGTTCAGAATTTTATTATTTTTTATTTAGTACAAATATAACAGGCTTTAAATTTTATTTATCAGAAGATTTACTGTTAATCTAATTTGAAGGAGTATCTCCATCTCCAAACGTAGCACTCCAACCTAGCAGAGGCCATTTTATGTACCTGCTAGAATTTAAGTAGTTCTTAATTTGTGGTAAATCCTGATTAAAAAAAGAAAAGAGTAGGTGAAAGTCGGCCGAATCAGATGAGAAGTAAAAGCACTTTATCACGAACTTACTTCAATACATTGTTTGAAACAAACTAATTTTGGTAACTCGTTCAAGCACTGTGAGTCCATGTATAAAACCACATCAAGAGTGTCGTATAACATAAAGTCAGGATGAGTTACCTGTAGAGATAAATGGATTATAAGAACTCAAAAAGTAAGTGACTATACTCGTTTTCTTTATCTCATTTGAAAATAGAACTACTGTAATAGTCAGCGTAAGCTAAATATTGCATTATTTTAATATAAACATAGACTTTCAATCTAAAAATTAGTCTACCTCAATGATGTGAGCAATTTATCGGAGTGAATTACGAGTTAAGTATTACTAAACATTTCCGCTGTTAACATCTACAAAGCTCTCACGTTAGAATGACTTGAAGGTTGAAGAATTTCTATGATTTAGCTTGAAATTGGTCTGCTGACATAAAAACATATATTCTTTTCCTTTGTTTTCATTTTAAGCATTTCTCTAGTTATTTTAACTTAATATAGTGTGTTTTTATTTTGTCATTTCGCTTCATATACTGGTATGAACGATCACAACTTGAACCAATGTATCTTTTGCTAAATCCTTAATTCACGGTGGAAAATTACGGCTGGGATTTGTGAAATATATATCCACGTATCCTGTTACGCTGAAACATGATCACTCATAGACATAAGATTATCGGAGTTCGCTTTTTAGACCAGATAGATACAACTGGAACAATGAATTGAAAGTCAAGTCATTAAAATTTCATAACTTACGCAGTTACCGTTCAAATACGTTTTGTTAGACAGATGATCTTCGAACATTTTCAGCTTCTCACGAAGTTCGTTGAGAAAATCAACTTTGAGTGTTTGCTTGAAATAAGTAAATTTTAATTCTAGCTCACATATTCCTTATTGCATGCAATTGTCCAAATACTCGTCTTAATATCTAAAATCGCTCCTTCAAGCATCGAAATTTCTGCACGTTCTTCTGGACAAGCCCCCACTAGGAACATAGATTACTATTTTAGCTTACACATGTTGTGTTTGTCAGCTATATAACGTATGATAGCCATAGATTGTGTTAATTTGAAATCACCATCAATATAATAAGGAAGCTAGATAATTAAATTATTACCGTAAAATGGGTATTCTACATTGGGGAACTCCAGGCCTAATTTAAATTTATCGTTGCGCCAGGCATCAACTTCATTGCGATCATATGCATGTTCCTCATATATTTCTTCAAGATATTCCAGAAGAAGTCTAATTGGTTGTGCGAGCTAAACATTAAGGAAGCTTTTAAATTATGTATACAAATACAACGCATAATTATTACTATTTGTCAGATGCATAGACTAATTAATTGATAACATGGAAGTGACAAAAATTATTCGAGTAATCTGGTGATCGCTAAATAAAGTCACATGCATAACCTAACTAGGGGAATACATAAATGTTTGGTATCATTCAAAAATAAAAATCAGTACAGCTATTCATCCTGAGTTCATTTTATAATCAGCATAATAAAACGAGACATGAGAGTGAAAATTTAGAATATTGAATGGTATACTGAAAACCAAAGCGTTTCATTTCTCTACACGAAACAAGTATCTTTGTAAAACGTTCTAGAGAACGATATTATCGCATCAGGGTGTGAATTTAAAGCAAGTGGACACTTTTTAGTAACGAATATAATAGTTGAATCTTACCTTTAGTACTTTATTATAGAATTTCGACTTAAAATATGAAAAATTTATTGCTGTTTATCACAAAAGCGAACTGTTTTTGCAAATTTTAAACGAAAACAGAAAAAATTCACAACAAAATGATTACCCTTTTAAGAAATAAAAGCCAAATACGTAAGTAACAAAGTGTATTAATTTTTCAGCGATTATAATATGCATATCATCAGCAATCATTTTTAGCGTCGTGATAAGCGAAGGCTTGGTCCTAAACGTGAAAAGCACGTCAAATTTATTTGTTTTTATATCATAGTCTGTTATTACTAGAACACTTTTACTGAAAAACGTGAGTTTTTATCATCTGCATCTGCAACAGATAGTTGGACAACAGAAAAAATGCTTTCAACTATCAACACCTTTAAAGAAAAATAAGCTTCCATTAAACATATAGTAGTAAATAAATCTCCAATATAAATAGACATAAAAGTCTTCGACATTGATCTTGATCTCATTAGTTTTACTGGAAGCCTTCTAGCTGAAGCCACTCAGATAACAGTTCGCACCAGATAACCATTGGACACGCAGCGCTTCACAACCAGTCACCTTAGATTACATACTTACATACATACGATTTGCCATATATATATATGTTCGAACCCATTCATTCCTGACTCTGGGTTTGACTGGGCGTTACAGAAAACAACGTTGTCAAGCCCTGAATATCCGTTACATCTTAAATCACCCAGTTTTGACTATTCAGACTAGAATTGCTTTGTTAAATCAGTAAAATAAATCGAGAATCGGTTATAGCTTCTCCATATTTCTCTACATTAACAGAGTTTTAATCACCATATCAGAAAACACTTATTAGCCCCACATTCTTACTTATGAACCAATGGTGAGAATCTGGGCTGAACACTGGAAACATTAAGTGAACATTGTTGATGATTTTAGATTCCTAAATATTATTTAATAGGGAGAAAGTTATTAAATCGTTAAATGTCGATTTTAAATATTTTTCATTCAGTTGATTTTTGTAGTATTTCAATTTGATTCCTGTCCATTCGACTTTGATTATTTCAGTTTGATATTTTTCAGCACAAAATTAATTTGTTCTAATTAATACATCGTGATTTTCTGTCACTTTGTTCAGTATCATATTCGATCGAATTAATGTTAGGTGATTTTGTGTACAAGTAACACTTATTCAATTTAATAACTTCTGTACTTGCTATTCAGTGAGTTTATTCGGTACATAACCGAATGGATACAAAGTTAATTTGATTTTTTTGGGGGGATTTCACCGATACGTCATTCTTATACAAATTCCGAAAGTCTTGTCTTTTTTATTTGAATCCAGGTTACTAATATACGGTGTCAGTTGTTGGTACAGACAGCGTAATATATTCGGAAACTCTTCCAAACGATTGTAATTCGAAATTATTGTAAACATCGCAAAACGGCATGAACATAGTACTTATGAATATTCATTTGTTATTTTAGTTTATACACTACTCTGAATCTCGTTCTCAGCTTCCTAAAGCTTAGAAACCTATTTCTGGAGTATAATACTAGTTAGCAACTAATCCTTTTACTATCTCTCACAGTTTATACTACATGTCAATAATTTCACTAACAATAATTGTTGGTATACTAAGTGAAATGAGTTGGGGTGAAGAAAATTCATGTGCAAGTTTTTTTCGTTGATCAGTTTTTATATAGATAATAGTGTGTGATAAATAACTAATACTCGACTAGGTTCATCGATCAACTGCTTCCATGATCTAGAAATGGAATATATAGATGGGTGCTTATGATTTCATCATGGAGAACAGTATGTCTAAAAGCATACTACATGCAGATTTTCTACCACGCAACTTAAATTGATTGTATGTTGGTACTACCATTACCAGTTGATAGAGGAGAACATGTAACAGATAGTCATATTTTTAAACTGTCATAAATGCAGTGAAGAGGTTGAAATGTCTATTGCAAGAGTAGCCTTCCTAAGTTTTATAAAAGGAGAGAAGACATCACTACATCCTAAAGACTTTTTGTCCTCCAACCAACACCAACATTTGCAGTACAAGACGACCTTAACTCCACCCATTTAAGAGCAGAGAAAACTGTCCTGAATGTTTACATGAGCTATTATAAAAATAAACCTACTTGGAACCATGGCAACGTATTTACGTGGATTTCCTTGGCAAATTTTGAACTCAGTATCCTTTGGTTATTATAAGTTTATATTACAGGAGTGTTACTCATGAACAGTCCTTGCAAAAGCTTTACTCAAAGAGTAATAAAGAGGACATAAATTCGTTAAGGGATACCCAATATATAAGTAAATAATAACGAAACCCAGATGGCTTACTGACATCTAGTGGCGTTATCAATTTACAATATGGAAATTGTGACAACGAAATTATTTTGTAATTATTTTTTGATACTACTTGCATATCTCTCATTATTTCTCATAGTTTGTACATTTACTATGAGTGATTGTAAAATAGTTGTTTAAAATGGCATGACCTTGATGCTCCCTTTTATGTTTTGAATCCCCCATAGCACGATACACTGGTAACCGCTCCCAGATACACTGCTACATATATGTCTCTCGTTCTCAATTTTCTGTTGTTGTGATAAATGAACCTTGATGCACTTATTATCTACATTTACAGACCACAGCTATATTCCCATTATATACCTTGTCTACTTAAACAGCTCTAATTATAACGGTCTTTATTGGAATTATTAAATACCCATAATTGTGGATTATTATACCAAATGCAACTAGAACACTCCAGGTCCTGACAATTTAAGTAACGTTCAGTAAATTTTTCTTGCGTTTATAAACTATATTTAATATATTAACCCCTTGAATTATGGACATAATAACTTTGTTATTACTTTTGAGTTGATATATTTCTGGTCCAGCACAAAAGCACCACATTCTCAGTCCAAAGGTTTATCAGAAAACGTTGTCCAAACTCTAAAGAGTGCTACCACATGAGTGAACCCAGGTAATCAAAAATTATCAGGAAAATGCATCAAACATTTCACACTTCAATATCATAATACATTAACAAAGTGATTGACAAATACAATCGAAGACACGCGGACGAAAGCGTAAATAAAGCAGAAAGGCCGATTTTTCTTCTTCGCGTCGGTTATTTGGCGGAAATATCGATTCTCCCCATAAATCGTATGTTTGGGGAAAATTTGTAGACAAATATACGTAACGTGCCATGTTTGGATAGTGCCGTTCCCTATACTTACATTTTCACAAACCTCTACACAATAACGTACTGTTGTCATAGATAGACTTAGACAGTGGAATAAAATAAGAACGGTTTTTATGAAGAAAACATAACTTGCTTTCATTTAGTCAGTCTGGTAGTGAAAGGATGACCAAAGGTAACTGACTTTGGCAGTGATTTACGTTGCATTAATAGCAGTCAACATTGAAATTAATTGTAATGAGATCCCACCAACTGTAACAGCACAGTCATTACCAGTGGAATAAACATTTCATGTTCAACTTCGTTTTCGAAAGCATTTTTTAAACATGCGCTTATTTTCTAACTTGCATGGGAAACTCGCTGAGTGAGTGTTGAGAAGCCTGTTTGATTTTAACTGCATTTGTAATTATATACACGTGCCCAATCAATAACACAACCTGTTCTTTCTTTTGCAGATCTCTTCAACTTACGATAAGACTTGGAAATTATAATTAAAATACATAAAAATCGATGCTTTAACATCTGTCAACTACTAATAATGCTGTACATATGAAACTTTTTCTTTTCAGTAAATTTCTATAAACACGTACCATTTTTAACGTTGATTGCAGTTGTCGTGTGGTGTGTTATGGAAATAAAAGCGAACGTAAGAGACATACGATTAGACCAAAGGTGTGTTATAAACTGAAGCAATTTTAGATAAATCGGTGTGTATTTAGGCGAAAAGTAGACAATTTAGAGATATTTAGAACATAGAGTGATATAAAGGGGGAAATCCATATTATTTTCTCCTGCCAAGTGAGAAACCTGACATTTTGGCGTTTCCCCTTTGTTTACCATTACTTCCGTTTTATTGGTTGCTTGGGCAGAACCTTACTAAAACTCCAGCAATGTAAAACAAGTGTAGAATCTTCCTTTTTAAAATGATACACTTACGCCTCTGATTTTCCAATAACCCAGTTTCGGTGCCATGACCGACAGATGTGATAGCAAGCCAATGACATGGCTTATAAAGTCGACTTGTTTTACCGCTACCCAAGGCTATCTAGTTTCTACATCCAATATACAGTTTGTCTCTTGATTCAGATTCTAACATCGAAGAAAGGACGCTGACAGCTTGTTCTGGATTCTTGCTAGTATGCTACTGTGTCTAATCTTCTCTAAAATGAGTCCTCAGAATGTGAGTACACCACTTCTTCGGTTGGAAGCTTCTAAGAGTTGATGACTTTATGCGATGTCATAGGTATTCTGTTCATTCACAGCCTCTGAACTTTCCTGACATCCCCCGTAATTTTCTTAATCTAGTAATAAAGAAGATGAAATATATCAGTGGAGGAATTATTTCTTAGTATTCTAAGCAACTAAGGATGCTGCTGATACTCATTATTGAATAACACCAACGATGAAACATACAAACGATTCTTGACAAAGTTGCTTTCTGTAACACCCAGTCAAACCCAAAGTCAGGAATGAAGGAGTTCGAATATATATGTATATATGTGAAACGTAGTGTATATATACATATATATGGCAAATCGTATGTATGTATGTAATCTAAGGTGACTGGTTGTGAAGCGCTGCGTGTCCAATGGTTATCTGGTGCGAACTGTTTTCTGAGTGGCTTCAGCTAGAAGGCTTCCAGTAAAACTAATGAGATCAAGATCAATGTCGAACGTTTGTACGGCTATTTATTTCGGGAATTCACCGCTACATCTAACTTCAACTCTTGTGGGTTGGCGACGATCCGAGGACGTGATCAGGCAGACGTTTTGTGATATGTGCTACTTATAACGACATAAGTAGTATATACCGCTATCCCGAGATAGAATGTTTTGCAGTATAATCATTTAACTGTAGAACTGGAAAAGTGATGTGAACAGAAGGAAGCTCAGTAAATTTAAAAAGTACTCATCTATAATCTATGGGACTTTATGGTTCTTGCAGAACCTTTCGGCCAATTATCGGATACTGACGAATTTTCATTGCGGTCGTTAAGTATTGTAGAAACCATCATAGTCGCGTTGACTGTGTCGTTCGATTATGTTCGGTTATGGATTTACTTCGAACTAAGCGGTCTTTAGCCAGTCGATGTTAGATGTTGTCTTTTTTGGTGCAGTATGTAGGTTTACGACATAAACCTTAGTACTGTCCTCAATCGCAGATTCGAGGGATCGGTGTAACAATTTGCGAAAACGTTCATATGAAATCGCAACGCAAATTTAGCGACAACGCCAGTTGTTTGCGATTAGGCGAAAGAAAGCTTAACTGAACATATTGCGTTTGCATGCCCGCTTGGGTAGGAAATTAGATCCACATTCAGAGAAGATGAAAAATGCGGGAATTCATCTAGAAATTTTAAGTGCCATGCCATAAACGTATTCCACTGCAATACACCCGGAGTCAACACACAATGCGTTGTGGATCCCTTACAACATGAGTGGAAGAGTCAGTCCAATATGATCCTTTACAGCTGAAATTAAGTCTCTCAACTTTAGAAAAACCGTTCTGCCGACCCATTGGTAGAAAACTGTCATTCAGAATCCTGTTATCTCTAAATGTTTAGTAAAAGGGGAGGAAATTACGGATGTCTGACAGCCAACATAAGAGCGTTCACGCTTCCTCATGTCTTTAATAATACCAGTCTAGCAAGAGCTTTTTGCAATGAGCTTGGTAACCGCTCGAATACCCGGATAAGAAGCGTTGTGCAAATTACTCGAAAATTCTGAATGATAATGTTTCGGTACGATAGGATCATACTTACCAGTAAGTGAGTCAAATAGTAAAGTCTACTTACCTATTCCTCCCTGTTTGATCCATAATTTTAGAGTTGTAGACGATAGCTCGTTTTGAAATATAGAAGCGTTCAAGATCGATTGTTCAGAAACTTTTCAATGAATATATGAGAGAGGATTATCTTGTAACCACATTGTTTACCACAAGAATATGTGTGTATCATAAGTAAATTGAAGGACGAAGTTCAGTTTTCCGGACTCTGAAGAGGAGTAACTGTACGGGGATGGGTTACTAGAAAATACAAGAAGCTTATTATCGATGTAAAGATCGAATGCCTGAACATCAATTGGTTTTTAAAAGTGACATACAGTACAATACATGGCTAGGAGTTCCCTACTGAAAGTGTTATAACACGATTCCCTATATGTCAACCGTCTGGATAAGAATGTGAAGGAATGTTAAGTTTCTTTAAACCACTTTTGTCGGACTTCGTTTACTGAGCCAGATTGTTCTATTGCGAGTAACTGAGCTCGTGGAGCCAGCATCCCTTGCCCATGAATGGTTAGCTTCTGAATAAGCGGATCAGATCTCAATATGATCTGGCATCAGTTGCATAATAGAGATAAAATGCATAATCCAACCGTGATATTCCAGGACAGAGAATATCACAATACATAAACAAATATATATATGCTAGGATTAGGAGAAGATTCATAGGTATCTTTAAGGCTCACCACTGAAAATGACGTTTCTGACATCTACACTATCTAAAACCTATCATAGTACGAGGCTTGCGAAATTCGAATTCAAGGAAGATAGGATAAAAGAAATATCTGATTAAAAGGTTGATGTGCCGATCATTTGGAATGCAAATTGACTAGTCGTCCTAAGAAATTGAAGTGATGAAGACGCTTGGCCGAGGGCACTCAACTAGGTCTGTGACCAGCATAAGTAATACATCCAAATCAACGTCGAAGACTTATGGACCTGTTTATTCAAGCGATTTTTTCGCCACAACAGTTTACCCATGTTTATCACATCTTCAGGCATTTGTCTCTTCTTGGATCTTCTGAACCCAATATTTTATCTTTATGATCTCTTGCACTGCAACCGAAAACCTTCTGTATGGTTATGCGATAGCTACTTAGCCAAAAACTCTGTTTTATGGGGAAAAACAAACTTTACAAGGCGCATAAATCCACAAATAACTTCCAAATCGACTGCACCTCGTTCAGTCGAGTGACTGGACTATCACCAGTTGAACAGTAGCAAATATCTTGGCCAGTATCAAAACAAAAAAGTCAGTCGGAATATGCTTGACACATAGGTATTGTTTATCGAACACTGAATATTGGAGGGAGTTTGAGTTGATCTGCACCCGAGGTTGTTCGAATATGTAGTTAAAAATCGTTAGAAAGCAAATGGATGGCGAAATGGATAAGACACCGAGACTTCAAAGTTTCCCCAAGTCGGTTTTCGTGAATCCTATGATGTGTGAGTTTACAAATGTTGCATCCGTTTTGATTTCATTTGAAATTTAATATTTATTGTTGGAATATTCCAACAATTTTTAGTGTTATAAAGATCATTTGTTGTGTAGACGTATATTTTAGTCGTGCAGCTTTTCGTTAATTTGTTTCTACTGTTCTGTAATAATTTATTCGCCGTTTTGAAATCTTGGATGACGGGATCTACATACACTAATTGTTACCTTATGCAGTGGAATATATACGTGTTGAAACACAGGTTTATGATCTTGTCTATATTTCATTTACCGTCCAAGAGACGACTTTCAATCGTACTGAGAATGTTTAACTTAAGAGAACCTCCTATATCATAAACGTTCGCAATGTGCTCCTGAAACATGCCTGTGGATATTTAGATTCTGGGTCTAACGATTGGGCTCTAAGTACATATTTTTTAACTGCTTCAGTTCTGTTTTTATACTCATATGTAAACTGCTTGGCGCTGCATACAAGATCCATATTAACTCTCAAGGTTTGGTTAGTGTCTGAGTGAAGTGGACTTCATATTCGACTATCTAATGTCTGTACTAGCAGTCCTTTTATGCAACTATATGAGATACTGATCTACAACGGATGTTGTGCTACAGCTTTATGAATGAAAATTCTCTGGTCAATTTGACTTGTTTGCTACATACTTATTCCTACCGTATAATAGTCTATTAAATTTAACCCGTTAGTACATTTGTATTCATGCTAAAATGAGTCTTCAGTTCTCGTAGGATTGTTATTTCATTTTTTTTGCTACCATCAAGCACGTTATCCTCAATTAGGAATCTTCGGTGGGGCTATTATTTACGGATGAACCAGTCAGATGTAAGATAGTCTTGTATGTTTGGCATTATAGGTGATGCCAGTTCGTGATGAAAACCCTAAATCTAATTTTTAATTGTAACCATCGATCATAAAACACAATTCTAGTTGGTTTATGACCCTCATTTAGTCCTGATCAGTAGGTGTCTTTTCTCAAGGCCACTTCAACTTCGCTCAAAGGTCGTCCATGAATTATAGTCCTACCGAATCTTCTTTTTCTGATTGATCTCAATATCGTAAGATGATTACACATCGCTATTACCACTTATGGGTTACAAGAACTTTACAGATATCTCTCGTATTTTTTACCTAAACCCAACTATCACTTCTATGGTAATCGATGCTGTCGGTGATGTTCGCAAATAGTTACTTCCCAGCATTTTGAGTTCCTGTTTTTTACACTAAATGCATATTTAGTCTAGATGGATATATACATGAGGAAATCGTTTATTTATGGGAACAAGGAAATGGTTTAATTTTTTCAACTGCACTTATATAATAAAATAATCATGATTCTCAAAGTAATTTTGTTTTAAAGACTGAGTTATTTCTGTTCGCTTTGTTATTTCAGTCCACAATTTGGAAAATGAATACTGGCTTAAAAAATGCTCTTCACACCCTGAATACGGAGTAAGCTTAATTACTGTTACGTAAAATTAAAAATAAAATAATCACACATTACAATTGTTGATTAACATCACTACGCTCTTGGATTTTGTACACGGGAAGATTTTCAAGAATAAATATCAAGATTAAATTGTAACATTCCAACATTTCGCTGAACTATTTTGGTTCTGGCCTCTTTATTCTTTGCATAACGAAGGTTCACCATCGTAAAGTAATTAACCCATCATTTTACTGTCAAATTTAGCGAATTTTTTAGTAAAACAAGATCAGAAAATGGTTTATGAATTTCATTGCCAGTCATTATCAGATGAACCAAGAGATACTTAAATCTGTCT